TTGATAGAGGGGGGGGAAGTGTGTGTGTGTGTGTGTGTGTGTGTGTGTGTGTGTGTGTGTGTGTGTGTGTGTGTTGGGAGAGGTAGATGTGAGGTAGAAAACGTGGCAGCTCCTTCATCGCTGAATCTTTGGTTCCCTCGCCCACTCCCCACCCAGCTTCTCCCTCTCCGTGGATCAGGCTTGCTGGCCTGGTGCAGGTTGCTGTCATGGGCAGAGCTCACACTGGAAGGCCGTGAGGTTCCCTTCCCTCCATGGGTTCTCCGGTGTCCTCCTTTGGCAGAGGCCCTCACCCCATTAGTCAGCCCCTTGAGGGGTGGGTGCCTCCTCCAGCTGGCTCTGCTGTTGCTGACTGCGCCCAAACCGCTTCTTGCAGGCCCTGCCCTGGGAGGGTTTCTTATGGTTACCCTGGGGCTGGGCCGGCCCCGCACCCTGGGCAGCATTCTCCCAGTGGTCTGGGCACAGCTGGGGTGTCTCTGCTGCAGCTGGTTGGGCCCCTGCCTGCCCAGCACTCACCCGGCACCTCCTCCCCTTGGTGTGGGCTGCCCGGTGCTTGATGAGGTGGGCACTCTGGCTGAAGGCCTCCCTGCAGTCCGCACAGGCGTGGGGACGCTCACCGGTGTGCACGCGCCGGTGTCGCTGCAGGTGTGAGCTCCAGGCAAAACCCTTGCCACAGTCCCCGCAGCGGAAGGGGTCCTCACTCCGGTGGCTCCTTCGGTGCCGTGCCAGCGCTGCACCCTGCCCGAATTCCTGTCCACACTCAGGGCAGGACTTGGCAGTCTCTCCTGTGCACAGGCGTTGGCGCTGCTCCAGCTGAGCACGGGGGGAGCTCTTCCTGCGGCTGGGGCAGGGTTGGGGGGGGCTCCCCCCAAGAGGGCTGTCTGGCTTGGCACCTGGGCCCCCCTCAGGCTGATACCCTGCCTGGCTCCGCTGGTGCCGGGTCAAGGTGGGGCTTGGAGCAAAGCTCTTCCCGCTGTCAAGGCAGGCATGTGAGGAGCTCTCCTTTGGGGGCTGCCCTTGGGCTGAGTCTGCCCTGCGGCCAGGCTGGCCTCTCACATGGTTCCTCTGGGGCTGGGCCAGTACTGTGCCCTGGGCAGCGCTCTCCCCACAGTCCAGGCCTGGCTGGGGAGTCTCTGCTGTGACTGGCTGCACCCCCACACGCCTCGTGCCCACCCGGCGCCTCCTCCCCTTGGTGTGGGCTGCCCGATGCTTGGGCAGGGCCGCCACATCATTGAAGCTCCTCCCACAGTCCCCGCAGCCTTGGAGGTGCTCGCTCATGTGCACACGCCGGTGCTTTGCCAGGTGGGCACTCTGGCTGAAGGCTTCCCCGCAGTCCGGGCAGGTGTGGGGGCGCTCCCCCGTGTGCACGCGCCGATGTCGCTCCAGGTGCGAGCTCCAGGCGAAGCCCTTGCCACAGTCCCCACAGCGGAAGGGCTTCTCGCCCCGATGGGACTTGCGGTGCCGTGCCAGCACTGCGCTGCGCAGGAAGCTCTCCCCGCAGTCAGGGCAGCGGTGGGAGGGTGGTGGGGCAGCATGGGCACGCAGGTGCTTGCGGAAGAAGGCACTGCTGTTGAAAGCCTTGCTGCAGTGCGGGCACTCCAGGGGCTGGCCACCAGCATGGGCACGCTGATGCCGGTACAGATGGGAGGAGCGGCCGAAGCACTTCCCACAGTCGGCGCACTGGAAGGGCCGCTCACCTGTGTGCAGGCGCCGGTGCCGGGCATAGTGCGAGCCCCAGTCGAAGCCCTTCCCGCAGTCGGCGCAGCGGAATGGCTTCTCCCCTGTGTGCTGGCGCAGGTGGGTGGCCAGGTGGGAGCCCACGCGGAAGCGCTCCCCACACTCTGGGCAGCGATAGCGCTTGCCGCCGGGCACTGGGAGGCGGCGACCCGGCCCAGGCTTCTGCTTCATGTGGGACACCTGGTGCATGCCCAGAGAAGCCCTGTCCTTGAAGTTCTCCCCGCATTCAGGGCAGAGGCAGAGCTCCTCACCAGCCAGGGGCAAGGCTTTGTTCAGCCCCACTTCAGGCCTCTCCACGCCATGGTCCTTCCCTGTGGCTGCTCCAGCTCTCAGTCTCTTGAGGCTGCCATTCCATGGAGCTGCCTGGTCACCTTTCTTGCTCCCCTCTGGCCTGTGAGGCTTTCCTCCGTGCGGCTTCGGTGCAGCATTTCTCTCTTCTTTCCCCACCAATATTCCACATTGGTCCATCTGCTGGCAACCTCCCTGCCCCAGATCTTCTACCTCATCCTCGCTTGCTGTCCCTGCAGTGAGGGAAGAATCAAGACGTGAGTCATCCCTTGGCATACAGGAAGGCAGAGGGGACATTGGAGGGAAACGAACTGGTAAGGACCCCTGGGTGATAACAATAAGATCCGCAAAGCAGACACCTGATTAAATACTAGCCATTTTTCACTGACGTTAAAATGCTTTACTGACCTTGTCCCTCAAACGATGCACTTAGCTACAAGGCTGACCTTGCCTAAGTGGTGCCCTAGCCCAAGTGACCTTATCCCCTCCTCCTGCCCTTCCACCCAGCAGATGTTGGTCACTTTGGTTCCTGCTCCAAAACTCCTACTGTCACTCCAACAGACCTACTTGTCTGCATCCACAGCTCAGGTTAGATGACTGGAGGGCGTTATTTGGCTTTATAAATCTATCAGTCTGCAAAATCAGAGCTGAATCCCAGGCCCCCTTGCCCATCTTAGAAGCCAGAGGGAGGTCAGGCAGGATGGGTAGGAAGACCTGAGGTCATGAGAGCTCGGGGTTTTGCTCCTGCATGGTTCCTGAGATGGTTTAAGTGGTTGCCTCACCTGCGCTGGTTCCTCCTGGGTTCTCCTTTTCCCCAGAGTCCTGGAGATCTGGGACACACATTCCTTCCCCTTGCTCTAGCCGAGAGATGACATCTGGTTTAGAGATGGGGTACTCTGCTCATGTGCAGAAAATATAAAACAGGAGAGAGATGAGGGTTTGTCCAGCATTGCTGCTTTCCACTCAGAGTGATCTTTCCTTTTCTCTCACAGCCTCATTGCCCTACAGTCCTGCAGCCCTTCTGCCTCATCACAGCTTCCCTCTCCATCCTCATACCCTGGACATCCCACCTCCCATATCTCTCCCTATTGGTTCTAGTTTAAGGTGTGAATACATCTCCTTCTACTGGCTACAACAGCTAGGGATTACAGCTAGGGATAGAAAAATAAGTATGATCTCTCACTGACTCCCTGTGACATCTGCTTAAGTGTACCCACATTTCAAGCCCTGTTATAGCTTGTTTGCAAGCCCATGGCACATGGCAGCCTTCAAATGTACCAGCTTTTCCTTAAATAACAACACTAAAAAACCTAGGAAACAGAATGCCAAAAAAGCAGTACACCCCCCCCGGCACCTCCCCAAACTCTCACACCTTTGCGAACACGACGCGTAAGTCAAACACTGATGCACTTGTAAAGCAGGCCATGCCAGGATGCCTATTCCAGTTAAATCTGCACAGCGTACTCTAGGCCTGACTGAAGGTGTACCTTATTTCTGCTCCTCTGTGCACACAGATGGCAATATGGGGCTAAATCCCAATTCCTTTTGTGGTCCTAAACAGCTTGTACATAGCTGTGTAACTGCAGTTTTGACACCTACAGCTTGCAATTCAGTATCACCCATATTAGCCTACGAAGGGGGAACTCAAGGGGACCTGTGCTCCAGCTGCTCAGAGAAACAGAACCAAGCAGGTATTTGTGTAAAGGTAGGAAAGTCCCCAAGCTTTAGTCAGGTAAAACCCACTCCTAGACAGAGGAGGAGAAGGACTCTTTCACCTTTTAGCCAAGGCATTTGCCCAGGGAGCAAGAGACTGTCCCTTATACAGACTCACACAGATGAGGGCTGCTGAAGAGCCTAGGTAGTGCCTAGCCCATAGCCTAGTAGAGTAGCACCCTGGGGCGCATACACGCATACTAAGCCGACTTAATAAGATGACTTAACTAAGTCAACTTAAGTTAAGCCACATGGGAGTGTACACATGTACAGGTCCTTGACATGGTGGCAGTCATCTTATGAGCTAAGTTGACTTAACTAATGTGGCTCAAGATAATACACCTCAGAGGTGTATTATCTTGCACCGCATTTAAGTCGTCTCTGCTCCATATACATGAGTACACTCTGACAGTTAAGTTAACTTTAAAAAGTTAAGTCAGCTTAACCGTCCAAAACAGGGATGACTGGTGCCTCCTGAGTCTGGGGAGGGGCGCAATTTGTGGGCAGGCCCAGTGGCAGGCCAAAGGCCCCATATCCACTCCTATACTTCTGTGCCATGGCTTAGTGCCTCCCCCTCAACACACTGCCGGCCCGCACAGCAAAAAAACTGCCCTGTCCTGAGAGGTGCTGAGTTGGGGGCCAGTCTTGGGGGGGCATGTGCCCCACCATGTCTTCCCTACCAGTCACCTGTGCTCTGAAAGTTAGTAAGTGTACATACACCCCTGGAGACTAACTAGTTTAGAGAGGCATAAGCTTTCATAGGTGACAACCTCCTTCATGAAATGTAGTTGCCTACAAATACTCATGCCTCTCTGAACCAATCAGTCTCTAAGGGCATTTATACATGAGCTTCAGGAAGCAGGGGGATTGCTTTAATTAGAGCGGCTCCAAGAGCCGCTCTAATTAAAGTGCTCAGAGCATCATGTGTATTAGTGTCTCTGCACTGAAAAATGGCTGCAAAAGCACTTTAACTAAAGCTTGTCGAATAAGCTTTAGTTAAAGCGTACCCACCACCATTTTTCAGCATGGGGACACTGATATATGTGATGCTGGAGTCTGCTGGAGCATGGTAATTACCACACAATGAATCAAGACTGCTCCGCCGTGCTGTAATTACAGTGCATCAGAGCAGCTTCAATGCATGTGTATAGACACCCTAAGTTGTTACCCTGTCTTGCATTCTGCCTGACTTCAGGGAACAGTACTAATCATTTCTTTGATAGATGGGGGTTAGCATACTGTGCTAGGAAGCAGCAAATTCAGATTCAAAGTCCCTTTAGGCACTGGGGCGGTGGTGGGGCTGAGAATCTGGGTCTCTTAATTCCTCAGCAGGTGCCTTAACAATTAGTTAGTGCACTCAAGGTGGGAGACAGAAGTTGCACACGTAGGGTGATTCTATTTCACAACCAGAGAAACAAAATCTCAGTATGTTTAAGCATCAAATGCTGCGGTGGTGTGGCTACATACAAACCATTTAGGCACAAGAAGGGAAACAGAATATAGCCCATAGTCTTTCATTGTCAGAGCTGGTCAATGTTGCCCACTGGAAGATGTGGTTTCACCAAAATGGACATTTCCAGTAAAATATCAATCTCAACCATTTCTAAAATACTGCTTTTTCCAATGCAATGATGTAAAACTGTTTCCTCACAGGACATACAACATGAAATATTTATCCTAAATCTATTCAGTATGCTTTCAGGACAAGAGCTGAGAAAATGACAGCTGTTTTTATTTCCTGGCAGTTCAAAAAACAAGCTTTGAATCAACCTGAAACAATTTTCCCCCGATATTGTTGGTGAACCGAGAAATCCAAGTAAAGTAATTTCGTGAAACAAAAAGCTGTCAAAGCAAGCATTTTGTTTTTTGTTTCTCTCCATCTTTTAACCTTTTTAAAAAATAAAATTGTAGCTGTTTTCAAAATGAAACATTGAAAAATCAAAACACCATTTCAAAACAATTACAATGGTTCTGATTTTTTTGTTTTAAGGGCCACCCGCAACCAAAAAAAAATTAGCATAGTCAATGTGAACTTGTGTAAAATATCTGCTCAGCTTGAATCTGTGTGATTTGACCTAACAGTCTGAAATGGAAATTTTCACCCAAGTCACACCTCCATATGTCTTCAGAAGGGGTCTTGCCCTCATTAAGACTGCAAGATTCACATCATTGTACCAGTTATTCACTGCTTTGCAGAGCCCAGAGGGGTGAATAGCAAAGCATAACTTAGGGCAGCCTTGGGGCTGCCCTAAGTCAGACCAGGCAGGGTGCTGTACAGCTGCATTATACCGGGGACCTCTCAGTTCCCGAAGAAAGGCAGTTCCTTACTGAGCGACATCAGGGTCTCATAGCTCTCTTGCATGACATCTCTGTACAGTGCCCGCTGCCGAGGGTCCAGAAACACCCAGTGCTCCATGGAAAATGCTCTCTGCTGTCTCCGGGAAGATACCTGCAACAACAAATCCTGCCTCAGTGCCTGCTGCTCCTGCTGCTCCTGCCCCATCCCTTACGCTGGAGCAAAGGGACTCTGAGCAATGGCCCTGGCCCCTTATCCGCCACTGGGAAAAGGGCTGGGGAAAGCTCTCACACACCCTGGTTCAGCTCCCTTTCTAAAAGGAATTAAGCCCTGGGGCTGATTTTTGAGCCACATCCCACCCACAGGGATGTTTCAGCCCCTGCCCCAGGGTATTTTTTCCTCTTCCTAAAACTCTGGCTTCAGAGGAACTGAGTCCTAGAAAGATTTTCACACCCCAGGCTGAGAACTTTGTCACCTGGAAGGATAAGATGGTCTGGAGGGAAACTGCAAGAAGGAGGGTTGGGGAGGTCTCAGAGGGTGGCTTCAGCCCATGTCATGCCCAGGTTCCCCCGTGCTTAGCCATGCTGGGAGAGCACCTGGGCAGATTCCCCAGGGCCGCCCTGGTATCTCCTCCTCCCAGTCGCAGCATCTCTGAGCCATATGCTAGAAAAGGGCCAGAACTAAGCCAAACAAGGGTGCAGAGAGGTGACATTGCCCTTGAGAGCAGCACACCCCCCAGTGCAAAGCCACCGCAGGGGCTTTCTTCCTCGTGACCCCTCACTATATGCCCCCAGGAAGGTCACCAAGGTGGCTCCAGGGGATGGAGCTGGGCAAGGCTAGGAGCAGGGGACCTTTTGCCCATTTCCTGCCCCTGCTGCCCCTTTTCTTCTCCTCCCTTCCCCCTTGGCTCCGGCACTTGCTCTCTGCTCGGTCCCTGGGAGCAGCTGCTCTCCCACAGCTGGACTAGCTCCTGCCTGGGCGACCAGGGGAGAAATCCTGTGCATGCCCATGAGGGCAGCAGCTCTGGGTCTCACAGCACCCTCGGTGCACAGGGCTCCTGTGTGCAGACAGCCCCTGCCCTGCTGGTCCCCAGCACTTTCTCTCTCCATCACCTGGAGTCTCCGGCTCAGGAGCTGGCGCTGCACAGTCCAGGGATGCAGTCCCTGGAGAAAGTGTCCCCTGGGCTGGGCATGGAGGGGCACTGATGAAGGCCTCTCCCAGCAGCTCCCTGGTGGTCCTGGATGCAGGAGCGGGCACTGTCTAACCTGGGAAGTTCATTCCCCGGATAGGCTAAGCACAGGAAATGCTTGGGCTGGGAGAGAGGCAGAGACAGCCTCTTGCCTTCCTGAAAGAGAACCAGAGCCCTCTAGCGGGAAGCCCCCTTCTCCCACAGGCACAGCTTCCTCCTGCCAGCGCCACACGTGTCTCCTCCTTTTCTTTAAATCTCTTTTGTGGCAGGTGGTTTGCATCCACTTATGCAGCAGCATCAGCAGGCATCACGGGACCACCTCCAATGCCAACTGCAGGACAGGAGGCCCCTCCTGCCACCCAGCTGTTGGCTGTGGGTGACTGCAGGGACATGCAGCATCACCCTCTCCGCAGCCCGGCTGGCACGGGCTCCATGGTCTGAGGACATGTGGGGTCTGCCTGGTGGGAAAGCATCAGCCACAGGCTGTCCTGGGGGTGATGGAAATGTCCCATCTCAGAGATGAAAGGGGAGGGGAGCCAGCAGGGGTGTGGGATGACAGATAATAAATTACATATGGTTTAGTGCAGGCCTGATGTGCAAGAGATAGTGAGGTATGTATGAAGAGAGAGAGAGACGGATATGGGGGTGGAGAGACAGCTAGATAAGGGGTTTGGAGAGATCAAAAAATAGTGAGTGAAGATGAGATAGAGACTTTGACATCACAAAGTTTAGAGCAAAACCCAGGGTGAATGAGCTGGTTCTGAGAGATTTCCTGTTTGCAGATGACACCGCCTTGGTTGCCCACAGTGAATCTTTCCTGCAAAATCTCTCGAGCAGATTTTCTGCCACGTGCAAGAGCTTCGGGCTGACAATTAGTCTCAAGAAGACTGTGATCATGTTCCAAGGGGTGGAAGAACCAGTGCCTGACATCACTCTGGAGGGTAAATCTCTTGGTGTCATCAACAGATTTGCTACTTGGGTTGTAGGATCACTGGGAATCTTGATCTTCAGACTGAACTAACAGAATTGGAAAAGCAGCTAGGAATTTGGGTTTGTACAGAAATGTGCACAGAATAACAACAAATTATCGATTAAGGTGAAGATGTGAATCTATGAAACTTGCATGCTGCGGTCCCTGCTTTATGGTTCAGAAACGTGGAGTGCATATGCTAGGCACATCAGAAGACTGAACAGCTTCCACATGAGTTGCCTGCGCAAGCTCCTGAAAATAAAGTGGGAAGACAAAATGCCAGTGCCGGAGTGCACAGGACTGGCACACTTAGAAATCACTATCAAGAAGAGGAGGTTGTGATGGCTCAGCCTCATCAGGAGAATCGGAGGAGACCATATCCCTAAAAACATTTTGTACAGTGAGATTCAGGATGGCTGTAGAAAGTGGGGTTCACCCTCTATGGCTGTACCGTAACATGTGCAAAAATGATATGAAGTTCAACACCAACGTAGAAAGCTGGGAAGAGTGTGCAGAACCATGTCCAATCTGGAGGGAACATCTGGCACTGGGTGCAGCTCAGTGCAAAGCAGCTTTGATCTCGAGGATGGAAGCTAAGTGAGAAAGAAGATCACAGCATGCTGTAAAGTTGGACTCCACCTCAGACAACACATGCATCTGTGAAACTTGTAACAAGCTGTGTCACTCTTAAACTGGGTTTGTCAGCCACAAGCAGATTCATCAGGCACCTGACTAGGCTTCTTACATGTACACTATGATTCAGAGGGTCAACGGTTGCCTACATATTCGGTGAAGATGGATGGATTGGTGGAGACTGGGATGGACAGATCAACAGATTTACAGATGGATAAAAAGACAGATGCAGAGATAGATAAAGCATTAAGTGTGAGAAACAGATGGATAAAAATCTGGGGGAAGAAAAGAACTGCATATGTAGAGAAGGACAGATAGATATGGCAATAGTAGATCAGTAGACATGAAGAGAGCTAGAGAGCTGATATAAACAGACCCTGAGAGCAGCGCTGGTTACAAATTATCTGTGAAAAAAATATTTTTGATAGATGTTTTTCTTGACAAAATAGACTTTTCTTGCAAAAAACCTCCCACCTATTTTTTATGAATATAATGGACCATTAAGCCACTGCTGCTTTCCCTTCCCAAAGCTCACCTCTGCCATGATACAGCCAGGGTGCTGCAGTCTGTCACTACAATTGCTGCTACCAGCTGGCTAAAAACTGAGCACAACTGACTTGATATTTCTCTGAGCCCCTGCTTACTAGTCATTTGCTTCATCCATCTGTCTTGCCTTGCCTTCTATGTGATAAACTCTTCGGAGGAGGAGATTGTTGACTCATATGGGTCAGATATTTAGGGGGAGTTAAAAGAGGTAGATGGGTACCTTTGGTGGCAGATAGGCATCTCAGGACATAGATGGACAATGTTCTTTGGGTGAATCTGATATCTTTTATTAGACCAACTTAAATAGTTGGAAAAACTTTTTTTTTTAAATAGATCAGGACATAGATATAACTTTTACACCAGCATGTAGGAAAGGTCAGAAGATGCACCCCCTAACCTGGGTTTGCTTTACTTGATCTGGTGGAAGATTACTTGAAAGAATCAGGGATGAAATTATACCTTGTTTCAGCAGTATTGGGGTCCACATCCAAACTTGGGATATTTGTTTGCTGTAGGTGAACAAGCTATTGCGTGTTCTCCAACACGCAATGGTTAGGCACACTAATAATAGCCCACCGGATGAGATGTTTTGGTAAAACTGTCTCTTCTGGATGCTGATATAACTCACACTGGTGCACAAAGCCAGTGAAAGTTGCACTGGAGCAAGTATTCACCTGCCTTATGTCCTGACTCCAAATGAAAGGACTTAGATGCCTGTCTCGAGGGCACGGAGTCAGAGACCTCGGTGATGGCCCACTCTCTGGTACTTAGCGCCCATTGCCATGCATCCTACCTCTGCAACAAGAACGATTGTACAGGTCCATGACAAAATTCTTGGTTATGTGCCCATGCAGTTCTGGGCACAATGGACTTCTGGATCTTAGTTGGAGCAGAGACCGTCTCTCCTGGTGGGTCGGTGCAAGGTGATGGAGCCCTCATTGTTTGGGTTGTTCCCAGTCCCCGCGGGCTGTGTGTATCAAGGCTAGCTGGAATTCATGGGATTCAGCATGGCAAGCTGCTTGCCCTTGAAGCAAGGGCCCTGTGTGGCCTCTGCTGCCAAGTCAAGTGCAGGAGTCCACTCATGCAAAAGCCTCAGTTGGTTTGGCTGCTCCCCCCGCTTCTTCAAGAGATTCCCACTCCTCTCGCAGGGCAGCAGCAGGAGATCCTGTGTGCTCCGACTCGCTTCCCTTGCCTCGCACAGCTCACCAGGGCCTTGTGCTCTGGGCTGTTCCTGGGAATAAGCATTAGCGAGGGGATGTATAGTACAAACTGCTCCCCAGCTCCTTCTCAGCCTGAAGTAGCAGCAAGGACGCGAGCAGCATTTTGCAAGAAAAAAAGGGTGATTTGGGATGTCTTCAGCCCAAGTTACAACCCAGCTCCCTGAAAGCTGCTTTTCTACAGACAGACATGCGGACTTGGTTGGGGACATGCCTTGTCACTATATCCCAGCACAGACCTGGTCCCTGCCTACAGGACCAAACCCACCAAAAATCCTGTTAACCTCTCTCTGTCTTAGGGCCTTGTTATACCTTCCACAGCGAGCAATGCAAATGTTGATCAGCTTAGCACTAGCTTGGAGTGTGGCGTGTGGAGCAGTCTTACCTCTAGTCTAGAAACTACCCGCACAGCTGTGCCTTGCCACTAGAGGCCTGGTGAGCAGGGAGGTCCCTTCCAGCCCTACTTCTCTATGCTTCCCCTGTCCCTGGACCACCACCACAGCTGTTCTACACTGTGGGGAGGGGCGGCTGAGGTCCCTCCAGAGAGGATGAGGGATTCGTGGTCGCTGCCCGCTTAGCTCTTGCCTCTGATGGTGAAGCCCAAGAGCCTGCAAGTGTGGAGCCCTGGGATCTGGCTGCCCCAGGTGGGAGGGGGGAGTTTTCCTGGGGCTGGATCGTGGGATTGGGTCCCAGCAAAACAAGCAAGGGGGCATTTCCCCAAGCTGGGGGGAGGGGCGGGGGTTGCCTGTGATCAGATCTGCTTGGGTGCCCACTCTGCACACAGCGCCTGGCAAATCCCAGAGCCTGGCTCTCATGTAAAACCAGAACCACAGATCAAGGGGGCAGAGGCGCTGCCTGACACTAAGCGTGGCTCTCCCCACTTTCCCAGCACCTCTCCCCCAATCCCAGCCTGTCCGAGTCTTGGGGTTAACCTGTCTGCAGGCACCTCCACCAAGCTGGCTCCCTCCACCTCTGCCCAGGCTATGCTACACCAGTGCCTGTATAAGGGGCTCCACTTTCATTTGCCTGTAGCGGAAGCTGGCTCCTGCCCCATCTGAGCTCCCTTCTTAATCCATAGTGATCAGCACACCCGATGGGCTGCCCACTGTGGGCAAGACAACCTGATCAACTTTCAGCCATGGTGACCAGCTCTTAGCATGGTTCCTGGGGGTGGGGAAATCACTGCCTGGGACCCCCTTCCCTGTGTTAAGGATGCTGCTGGCTTGTTTAGAACCAACTTGGACCTGTTATAGCCCAAAGGGAGATCTGGCATTAACCTAAAGGTTAGCCTTGGGGCGGGGCGGGGCGGGGGAAGCACCAGCAGAACCCCTTTCCCAGCTCCCTCCCTCTCCTGCATGGAGAGTCCACCACCAGAAGAATTTCACCTACTACCTCTGGTATAGGATGGAAATAAAAACAACAACTCATCAGCGGGAAAATAATGTTAGCAGAAGCAGCCAGGGACATGAGAGCCCACATGCTCACCAGGGGAGAGAGAGGACAGACCTGCTCCCCAAGGGGGAGGCTTACAGCTGTCCCCTCTGCCCAAGGGCCCTGGTACAAGGGAGGGCGAAGACACCGAGTACAGGGAAAGCTTTGTTGAGGACCCCCGGACAGTGGGAGAAGTGCTACTCAGGCCTTGAGTATAGGGAAGCCATCGCCTGTTGCTTG